CATATGCCATCGTTTTCGGGTACAAGATCACCATGTCACAGTGAATCCATAGGAATTCCGGAACAACTATTCGGTACATCATGAATCAGAACGGGACAAATCGAAACCTCAAAATACCAACCCTTCCGTAACAAGGTTCTCTTCACTATTGAATGTTTCGACACCCCTCCTAACGATAGTTTTCTGCGTAGCTGTACCTAGCATTGCATCTAGGACCGTTAGACTATACACGATATTTGAATATAGTTTATGATGGCAGAGACATAATCTTCTGAAGAAAGAGTTTATATTATAGGAGTTAACCTTCTCAAACTTGAAGATAAACTAAACAGAATCTTACGAAACCATTAGGAAACACACACACACACCCACACATTAAGTACGCAAACACACACACACACACAAATATGCACACACAAACACACACACCCACACACACACCACACACACACACCACATATAGATATATATATATATATATATATATATATATTATATGTATAAATGTATGTACACACACTCACTCACTCACACACACGTACACACACACACCACACACATATGCACACACAAAGACACACACACACACACACACATATGCACACACAAATATACACACACATGTGTTTATACATATATATACATATATACATATATATATATATATATATATATAGATATATGTATATATGTATATATGTATGTACACACACACACACACACACACACAGGCGCGCGCGCACACACACATATGTATAACCTAGCCTAATTTCAGATGCTGGAGTTTACATCTTCTCAGAGGACCCGATAACAGAAAACTACACGACAGCATCACACATAACGGTGAGAATAACCTCTTAATTTATATATTTTCTTACTGTTTCTCCTTTGTCTTTTCCCACTATTATATATATATATAATCTATTTTGCCTCTCCTCGTGTTTTTTGGTTGCATATACTCATTGTCTATTATAAGCGCTTTCCTAGTCAAAGAGTAATTAGGAAGGAAGCTTTCTAAACACCTTGTCTTCTACTTTAGATGCCCTTTTGTTGTAGTGAATCCAGTTAGAAAGCAGTGGTTTGTTTTAGAATCTTAGGTATAAGAAATGATGGTTTAAAATATTTTTTGCAAACAGTTCACAAGTGATTGGTAGTAAGTTCATTAATCATTAAGACAATTCATAAATATTAATGTAT